TTCATCCATTTCATATACTAATTTCTAATCTTTATTTTGAGCAAGTTGCAACTATAGTATAAAGAATTCCTATAGGCCCTTTATCTATAGTTGCTAAATGTTAATCACCAAATTAAAAAAATCGTTCTATGTATGTGTATATGTATGTACACAGTCATGTTATTTTTATGAGACATTTCACAGTATATTGAGGATACAGTATTTTTACTTTTTCTCTTAAATATTTCAGTATTTTCTGTTATAAACAAGCACTTCTCTTATGCAACATAATATAATGATAAATATCAGATGATTATCATTGACTATACATTATCATTATACTGTACAATTTAACTTACACACACAATTAAAATTTTGTCAAGTCTTCCATTCTCTTTAATAAAAAAATATGCTTATGGGTGTTTTGCTGCATGTGCACCAGGTGTGTGCCTGGTGTCTGCAGAGAAGAGGACTACGGACACCTGGAATCGTAGTAATAGATATTTGTTAGCCACCATGTAGGTGCTGGGTCCTCTGCAAGAGCTCCAAGTGTAACCATTGAACTAGCTCTCTGGCCTCTTTAAAGGCCCTTTTTCATTCATTTTGTTTGTTGGGTTTTTTTGTTTGTTTGTTTGTTTGTTTTGTTTTTTGCTTTCTTGAGACATGGTTTCTCTGTGTAACAGTCCTGGCTGTCGTGGAACTTAGTTTGTAAACCAGGCTAGCCTCAAACTGGAAGGGATCCACCTGCCTCTGCCTCCCCAGTGCTGCAGTTAAAGGTTCCACCACTTCCTGGCTGGATTTTTGTTGTTATTTTGGTTTGGTTTTTGTTTTGTTTTCATTCCTTAGTGGAGAATTATTTACGTGCAATAAAATTCATACCAGTTCTGTGCACAGGAGGCTCCTGCAGGCCTGGGCTGAACATGCATTTCTGGCCTCAAGCAGTAGGGCAGCTTTAATATGTGCTCCTGGATTTCTTGTGGCGAGTTTGGTCTGTTTCCTTCCTGCTACTGCCACCAGTAAAAGTTGATTACCCTTGCCTTAGATGACCTTTTCCCCTTAGGGAGTGTCTTGCCTTTCCTGGAAGACGGTACTTGCACATTTCTGTCCACTCTTAGTCCCTTTGCCGAAAGCCTCACTCCAAGGTGATGTTATTGGGAGGCATGGCTTTTGGAGACATAAGAGAGCAGGGTTCTCACAAATGAACTAATGTCCTCAGAATACACCCAGGGAACTGCTTTGTCCCTTCCACCATGTGAAGAAGAAGCAAAATGATACCATCTGTGAACCAGAAAATGGTCGTCACCACACAATGACTTCTCCCTTGTTTGGATCTTGGACTTTGCAGCCTCTAGAATAGTAAGAAATAGATGGCTCGGTGTGTGAGCATCCCATCCCACAGGGTTTGGTTATAGCAACCTGAGCAGAACGAGGCAGCAGGGGTGTGGCCTCACCCTCAGGCCTTCACAACAGGAAGCTCTCCCCAGCCTCCCACCTGTCTTTCCTGCTCAACCTTCCTGCTTGCCTTTCTTTTGAGCTCCAGTGGATCCCAGAAGAGCAGTGTGGTGGTAGGTGTGATCGCTCCTTATTCCTGTAGCACCAGGGTCCTGTTATCTCACAATAGTCTGCATGGGCTATTTGAATCAGTGACAGAATGTTATCTGAATCCTACTTTCCAGATTATACATAACACCTGGTATTCCCATCCGGGAAGAGTGTGCTGAGGTCCTGCCTCTTCTTAGGGAGCCAGGGTTTCCTAGGACACTGAGTAGACTGGTTGTCTACAACCACAGGTCCATGCACACTACAAAGAGAATCATGACTTCACTTCCACAGAGGAGCCTGGGAGGAGCATCATACCTTCTTAACAATTATGCAGGATGATCGTTCCCGAGGCAATATTTCATGTCTCTCCGACAAGTATTGCAAAAGATGTCCAATGAGAGTTTATGACTTAACTGCTTTTAAGAAATGACACACAGAGGCCTGGCAGTGGTGGTGCACACCTTTAATCCCAGCACTTGGGAGGGAGAGGCAGGTGGATTTCTGAGTTCAAGGCCAGCCTGGTCTACAGAGAAAGTTCCAGGACAGCCAGGGCTACACAGAAAAACCCTGTCTCAAAAAACCTAAAGTAAAATAAAATAAAATAAAATAAAATAAAATAAAATAAAGTAAAGTAAAGTAAAGTAAAGTAAAATAAAATAAAATAAAATAAATGATAAAAAGTTTCTAAAAAAGAAAAAAAAAGAAATGACACACAGTTTCCCAACAAAGTGAAAAGTCATATCCTACGGGAAAAATCTTTGAGAAATCAATGATTACATCAGGGGTAACTGGATGTCCAGGAGCCTACACTGACATGCTTCCTAATGAGAACACTTTCTATATAGTTGTTGTTTTAAGAATGATTTATTTTTCATTTTTCTATAATCTGAATAGAAACCAGAGATCCATTTTACAGTTTTTTGAGCATCTCTGAAGTTGGTTTCTTCTCCTATGCCCAAGAAAACATTTAGAAAAAAAAAATAACAATTATTTCTTTTCTTATTAGTAATGCAAAAAATGAAAAGATTCAGTTATTTATGCATTACTCTTGTAAATTTTTTCTATAAAACAATCATCTAAAAGCTTAAAGCTATTCCTACCACTTAATGAAAAAGTTGGCTTTGAAATGTGTATTTAATTGTGTTTCCCAATAGACAACCATTCTTGCAGTCTTTCTGATCTATGGTGATATGGTGACATTCTTTCTCACTTCCCTTAGTCATAGAAGGAAGTCTGAAAGGCTTCATTTACCTCTGCTGAACTAAGGTGTGGGCTTACTTACTGAAGGCTTTTAGCCAGGTGATCTACACTGAACATTCTAGAAAACCCTCAAGTGTTTGAAAGAAAACTACTGGTTATGAGGGAAAACAATCCTTTATGATACAGAGACACAACTTCCTTCATTAACATCTATAAATAGAGTGCTTACATTAGGAAGCATATCAGTGTAGGCTCCTGGACATCCAGCTACCCTGAATGTGATAACTGATTTCTCAAAGATTTTCCCTTAGGATATGCCTTTTCACTTTGTTGGGAAATTGTGTGTCATTTCTTAAAAGCAGTTAAGTCATAAACCTTTATTGGAACACATTTTGTGATATCTGCTATAGAGATCTGAAATATTGCTGAGAAACGAAACAATCACCCTGCATGACTGTTGAGAAGGTACGGAGCTCCTCCCACGTACCTCTGTCTGAGGGTAGATTTCCCAGTGATGATTCTCCACTGCATTCTAGTATCACAGTGTTTTTTATTATCTGTCCTCCCTTGTGATGGATAATAAAACCGAAGTACCAGTTTCCTTTGAATGCTCTTCCACAACCTTTTTGTCTCCATTGCACCTGGCCAGGGGTCCTTCTGGACCTCTTGGCATAGACACCAGTGGTCTGAGGCATCACCTCAATATTCCAAAGCTATCTTCTTATCAAGTATCTCATTGAATCAAGATGCCTTCATTTGTTTTCACAAAACATCAGAGGAAGTAAGCTTACACCATGTCCCAGACTATACATTTAATATATGGATTTTTCCCTTTTTAATTAAAACAAACATTAGTAGAATCTCAGGCAGTTGTCTCCCTAGGGTCCTCCAACATCTCTCTCTCCCTATGGGCTGGCCCCCTAATCTATAGCTAGTCAGAGATTTCTAACCTCCAGGTGAGGCTGATACCCACTCTCACTGGAGGCTATTTTCTGGTAAGTATGAGGTTGATCTGTGATCTCTACATTGCTGTATGCTATTGAACATGGTACGTGCGTTATCTGGATCGTACCAGTTTCCATGCAGAGTTCTTGCCCTCTCAGTATTTCCAGATTTCCCAGTGTAAAAAGGGAATTTGCTCTTGATTGTAAACTGAATGAAATGACTGTCAGTGACTCCTGAGAAGCTGGAAGAGGATCTCAGCCTCCCAGGGTGAGTCATCTCAGATGTGTCCAGAGTTTGCAGTGTAACACAGATGTTCATTTGTGCCAGGCTCAGTGTGTTCCAGCATTAGGCATGGCTCAAGGACACCAAGGTAACAGTCAGGGAACAAGTTCTCAAAGTTTGCCCATTCTAAGGAACTTGCTTATATAAAGCAAATTGGATTTTGGAGCCAAGAATATAAGATTCTACACTTGCAATTTATTCTAATACCAAGGAGCACCTAGAGTTCAGTCACAATGTGCTGTGAGATACTGACTCAAAGCAAAATGGACATGGAACCTCTCCTTTCACCCACGATTGTCTTTAAGCTAGTCTGAGGTTGGGACTGGTGTTAGAACTTTTACTGTGCCCACTGATGAGTCTCTTGAGGGTGATTACGATACTTTTGAGAGCATGACAGAGGGAATTAAAATAGTCCTGAGAGTCCAGTCAGTATCTTTTCTACTTTTCCACAAACATATCACCAACTGATCCAGAATTAAGTCGGGATTTGGAACAAACTCCTAGCAGCATAGTTACTATGACTTTGGGATTTAATTGTGATTATTTCCATTTCATATTCTATACCATGATATTGTTTATGCCCTTGTGTGTTTTTGGCAAGAGTGTAGGGTGGGAGGGGGGACCAAAATCAAATCCTGCCTGTGGGTATAAATGATCAGAGGTGAAACTAGCAGATTATAGTCAATTATATAAACAGGTCCTTAGCCTTGAGGGGGGTGTTGTTTTATTTTTTTCCCATTATTAATATGGGCTTTTAGCATACTATAAATATAGGAAAATACAAAGATAAATGGAAACATTAGCTATTTGTAAACAAGTAACTGTGCCCTTAGCTTTAGTTCTGTCAAGATAGAGGCATCTATACCTCAAGAATGCTAGCAAACAAGAAAGCCTATTTCTCTCTATCTGTATCTACATTTATACTACCATCCTTAGTAATTAGGTAATGCTGGAATGCAGTTTGGGAGCTGCAATCGAGTTTCTAACTCCTTAAATATTCTGAGTTATTCTGAGGAATTAATAAGAACGCCTCTTTCTTATATCTCATGTAGGGGGAACAAGGACCTCAAGGGTTTCCAGGGACCAAGGGCACAGTGGGACTTGGCCTGCCCGGTCAGAAGGTGAGTGTATCAGCATCTTAAGGAAATGCTTAGGCTCAAAGTCTCAATGGTTTAGCCTAGATATGGACAGAGCCCTCATGTTTCCTGCCTGTCCTGCCACACAAAGAAACCTACCTGTGATGGAATCCAGTGTTCTATTTTCCCTCATCCTTCAAAGTCAGCCAATAAAAGAATAAATCCTTATGATACAGATGCAGGAGACACCAGAAACCTCAGGAACCTGATAAATTACACAACAGTTGTGTTTCCCGAAGCCACCGAACTGATCAAAAGGTGTCTCAATACCTCTTAAGTGTAAATGGTTTTTTTTCCTCCTATGTGTATTTATATCAACAGAATTTCAAGTCTTTAAAGGGATTTTGGCATCAACAAAGAAAACTGAAGGATTGTTTTTTTTTCCCTGAAGCTTAGTTGGCTTTAATGTTCATGGTCTAAGGTTCTCTTTTAACCATATTACACAGGGAGAACACGGAGAACGGGGCGATGTGGGGAGGAAAGGCGAAAAGGGAGAAATCGGAGAGCCTGGATCACCAGGGAAACAGGCAAGATGTGATTTTTTTCAGGCCTTACTGCATCTTTGGTTTTATCCTCCAACAAGGTCCAGCCTAACCTGACTGTTACTCTTTTTCCACTAAGTAGGGGTTACAAGGACCAAAAGGAGACCTGGGACTTACAGTGAGTATTTATCCTAGATGATAATTGAGGGGGTCATAATTGCCTAATTATTACATTCATGTTGTAGCTCTAGAATTGACTCCTTTTTTGGATGTTGGGTTGTTCTATTTAAATGATGGTGCCTGCTATCAGGCCAGCGTTGACTTGAGCATATCAAGATAATTGCATCTGGATGAAGGGGAACCTCACTAGGAAGCCATGTGAACAAGTAAGGATGCTTTTCTCTAGCCTCTCCTGGAAATGATCAGGTTGCTATTATTGGCAACAAGGAACTGATCTGCTTAAGAGAAGTGGCAGAGACCAAATGAGTTTTTATTTCATGTGGCTTTTTTCACTGATGTCAGGCCGGGGGCTCCTTTTCCTTAAGCTAGTTCCTTGAGAAAGTGCTGTGAAAGAAAGCAGTTATTTCAAAGCTGGGATTATGTTTATGCATGTATTTTTTGCCAATCTGTTGAATCTCTACAGTTTTCTACTGTTTTCATTCTCTCTTTAAAAAAAAATCATTTTAAAAATTCTAATGGGTAGGAGGGTTCCAGAATTTTCATAGCAAATTCAAATTCCTTTCTAATTTGAAATCACTTCACCCCTTCTATATTAGAAAAGGAGACCTTTAGTTCTTTTTTCTTTTCCTTCAGTTATCATATGGGATGCCAATCTTATATATAGTGGCCAGAAAACCTGGAAGAGAAGGGAGTCTGTCTGGTCATGACCACAGCTTCTGTCTCTTGTCCCCCTAGGAATCGGATCCCCAAAGATGTGTATAGTGAAAGAAAAGCCATGTGTGCGGCAGCTACCTGCTAACAGTAGCAGAGTCTATGTGTGAACTATGGAGGGAGCCTCCCCCTGGCTTAATTCCTGCCTTGCTGTTCTAACATGGGGGTGGGGTAGATCTATTTTCTTTCACATAGTCATTTGTACATTCATTTCATAACATTCCTTGGGTATTTACTGTGGCCAGACTTACAGAGATGCACTATGAAATGGGAGGATGTGGAAAATAGGAGACTATATGTCCCCGAGTTCAGGAGAAAGAGACATGAGAAGTTCATGTGATGAATATTTGGCTAGAATTATAGGGGAAAGGCAGTCCAGAGGAAACAAAATGTTATTGGTAATATTTGGGGCAAGAGAGACTATCTCTTCAACAGAAGGTTTTGTTTTATAAATTTATTCATTCTTTGACAGCTTTATGTTGATCAATCTATAGTTGGCTTCAGTAAGCTATATATAGTGGGTTTCTTTTACTCAATTTCTGTTCAGCTGAACCCCTTCTCCCAATAAGCTCCCCTTCAAACTTCTATGTTATGTGTATATGCATGTGTGTGTGTGCAATCACACATACACACATAAGAATTTAGTCACAGTTGTTTACATGAGCACAGATGGGAGGTTGTTTATTGAGCATAGCCTACTTTTCAGATACTTCTGATGGAAATAACAACCAACCTCTGATTGTTTGGGCCCCAGGAAGGAGTGAAGACTCATCTGCCTCTCCCATTGTCTTAGGGTTTTGCTGCTATGAACAGACACTGTGACCAATGCAAGTCTTATAAAAAACAACATTTAATTGGGGCTAGCTTACAGGTTTAGAGGTTCAGTCCATTATCATCAAGGCAGGAAAATGGCAGCATCCAGGCAGGCATGGTACATGAGGATCTGAGAATTCTACATCTTCAAATGAAGGCTGCTAGCAGAATACTGGCTTCCAGACAGCTAGGATGAGGGTCTTAAAGCCCACACCCACAGAGACACACCCACACCAACAAGGCCACACCTTCTCCAACAGGGCTATACCTTCTAATAGTGCCATTCCCTGGGCCGAGCATTTACAAACCATCACACCCACCCCCATAAGTCATGGGCATGTCTTATTCAGGTAGCCATAACTGCAGTGAGTTCATGAGTGAATAACTATGTCGTGCCCAGGAGATCTTTTCATGGCACATCACTTTATCCTATTATATTTTTGTTTCTCTTTCTCATGCTACATTGTCTGAACCTTGAGCGAGGAGATATAAATATCCCCCTTAGGCCAGGACACTCCATTATTCCTTATCATTAGCACTTTAGCCAGTTATGGGCCTCTGTATTCATCATATGATTTTGTTTCTTTTTTTTAAGATTCAATTCCATCAACCTCTCCTCCCCTTTCAGTGTTGGTATTTCCTATTGTCTGAACTCGGGTTTCACTTTCCTGTCCTTAAACTCAACAGGGAAGGTCAACTGCTAAAGGCAAGAGGGTATATAATTCAAAATGCTAACTGAATAGCATAGTAAACTCATGGGGTAAGTGAAAATTTTGCTATGAATATTGAAAGCACCCTTACAGATTGGGGTAGGTCCACTGGTTTATAATGGGCTAAGAGATGGCCAGTGAGATGGCTCAGTGGATAATGGTGTTTGTCTTCACACAGTGTAAGTCTAATGACCTGAGTTTGATTCCTGCAACCTCCATAAGACTTTCCATGTATACTGTAGCAAGTGCCATCCCTAGCTCTCCCTACCCCTATCTTCTTGGGATACCAACACTGTGTCTCTGTTTCTCTCTCTCTCTTTCACATACACATAAGCAAAATAATAATAATAATAATAATAAATACATAAATTTAGAAAAATCAAAAGGCTGAGCATTCTTGCTTTAGACAAACTGGCTTGTGGTCCCTGTTTAAACAGTTACATGTACACTGTGGTGTTTTGTAAATCTGCCTATAGTTTGGATCATTCCTTAGAGCACCAGAGCTTACATCCTACAGTCATCTGAGCATCTTCAGATGGATGTCCCAGAGATGCACCAGACTTATTGGGGATCAGTCACTCAGATCCTCCCTGCCTCTCTTTATTCCTTCATAGCCCAGAACAAGCCCACGTTCATCTGCTTCCACTTAAAATCCCTCTTCCCTCATCACCTTCTCTTAGCTACTTCTCAACCCTATTTATTCACCATCTAGAGTGTGAGTGTGTAGTAATAATAACCTTAAAGTACTATGCTTTAAAACAAATGAGTTTCTAGTTAACTATTGGAAGTATCAGTACTTACAACCTCTCTAAAACATAGCTTTGTACTGCTCATCAAAGAACCTTAAAAGTGACCATGCCTTTAATGAAGCTTTTCAGGATAATTAATAATACAAAAAAACAAATTATGATAGAATGTTGCATGAAAAATATAATCCTAAAGCTTGATATATGTATTTTTCCACAAGTGAAAAGTTAACTAGAAGCTGCATGTGGTGGCATATCTTGGGAGGAAGACTAGAGATTCCAAGGGAGCCTGGGATACTTAGTGAGAACTTATTTCTAATAAACTAGAAGAAATACTTACATTTCCCCTTTCTAGATATATTTAGCATGAATATATAACTTTCCCTTTCAGCATATACTGTAGTTTTAGATTTCTACTTTGAATGTAGAAAAGTATGGCAATTCCTGATGAAGAGAGGTCATTGTTGACAATTTCCTCTGATATAACTTAATTAGTGCAACCCAGCATCCCAGTGAGAAGAATAATTGCATTTACTTAATTTGTAATAAAACTGTTAGATGAAAATAACCTCAATAGTCTCCATTAATACTGCTGTTAACTAAGCTGTATCTCCAGTTACATATATTGTCTCCCCCAACTCTGTCATTATCGATTTATTCTTTAAAGTTTCCCTTTGCCTCTGTTAGGATTTCCTTCGTTGGTTGACTCTGCTGTTCTTACCTATTGAGATCTATGGTTCGTGTGGTTACCATTTTCAGCTCCATGTCTTTAGCAAACACAGACTCTGGTCTCTGTTATCTGTCTAATCACTTGGACATAAGCACCAAGCAATGTTGTGGCATTGGTAGACTGGGGCTTTTAGAAGCATGGGGACATTTCATAAAGAATCAAAAAGAATAGCAGGGAACTGAGAGGGGGACTTCTAAGAGCTGAGTGTTGGAACAGATCAAGCATGAAGAATGGGCCTTGGCATGGGCCTTAGTGGTTAGCACATAGAGTAAATTGTTTTGCTGATTTGCAGCATCTTTGCAGAGACAGTACCTGGTAGGCTCAGACCTGTGCATATTCGCCTCATATAATCTGCATCATCACCCTAAGAGATGGAAACTGTTGTGTCTGCTGATAGTCTGGGGCTCACAGCTGATGTATATTGGAGTTGCAAAAGGGTCTAAAAGTCCAAGCTATTGATTTTCACTATTCAGCCTTATTGGTGTATGACATCATATCCAACTTTCAGCTTTTGTGCTATGTGTTTCATTTTCTTCAATGAAGGAGTGAATCAAATGGTCCAGTGACAGGTATAGGATAGATTGCTCATGATTACAGGAACCATGATATAGTCATAAATTTAATGCTAATACATTTTTCTTTTTCTCCAGAAAGAAGAAATTATCAAACTTATCATTGAAATATGTGGTAAGATTTAATTATCAAGAGAGTAAAATGCCCTATACAATATCAGCCCCACTGTGTGCTGTGTTGCTAAGCTAATGGGGGCATTCAGGAGACACATGGTCATTGTTGGGGGTGAAATTTGAGTCTTATCAGAAAAGTCAGTGGAAAATGGAGAGGTGACATTGAGGGAGGCTGTAGGCACCTTAATAAACAATTGTTTTCTTGTTTCTTCAAGGCTGTCTGCACAGTGGGGGGCTCTAGAGTGTGGGGATCAGGGCATTAATACACACTTTGTTCATCTATAGTCAGTGGCTTACCTGAGTCTGGGAAGAAAACTGGCACAATGGACATTTGGTTGCAGAAGCCACAGGCACCTAGAGACTAGCTAAGTGACTGTCACATGCTTTCCTCTAAGCCTGGATTTCTTTCCAAAGTGAATTTTGAATGTGATGTCTGCACCTGCATTCAATCTCACAGGCAGGAAGACATTCAGGGGTTCATCTTGTTTCACAAGGATATCTAAATTCTTCCATACCTGACATTTTAGACTTAAAGCTACCAGACAGAGAGGATAAGGAAAAAGCTTAGCTTAAGGCAGAAGATGGATAAGATAATTATGACTTCCCTGTTTGAAGCGGACAGAGGCAAGAATAGCACCAAGTATGTCTCCTAAGAACCAGCCCGAGACCTCTGGTAATAGGACAATTTAGACATGGCTTCTGGATTAGATTTTTGGGAATCCCCATCTATGAATAATTGCTTATTGACCAGTATTTTCTGGAATTCCTCTTGTCAAAGGATTCATGGTACAGATGAACTGCTGGCCTCCTTGATAGCATGGAATTCATGGAAGTTGTAATAATCCTCACAGTGGTGAGGTGGGTGAAGGAGTCACCACATAGAACAGTGGCACTCATGTAGAGTAAAGGGCACTAATATTCCCACCAATTAAATTTTATTACCCTGCCACTTTATCTGTTTGCCATACCAGTGAACAAATCTCAGGTTTTCCTTAAAGATATGTCTGAAAGTTAAAATAGCAGCATCAGGCTGTATATTAATAAAATACAAACTGTAGAATGAAGAAAACAAACTCAAGACAGTAGTCACCTCTGAGAGAGAGAGAGAGAGAGAGAGAGAGAGAGAGAGAGAGAGAGAGAGAGA